CAAATTTCTTTGCCAAGGGCTCCATGCAATTGCCTTTATTTATATTATAGTGTATATATATTATGAATGTACATGTATGTATATAAAATCAAGTTATTAATATATATATTTACCTTGACAGCAGCTTTATGGTCAGTTTTAGTAAACTTTGGAATGCTTGATTTTGCATCCCAAATATTAACTTTACAGTCATCACCTCCACTAGCCAATTGTTCACCATCACTTCTCCATTTCAAACCACAAACTTCTCTATTATGATTGTGCATTTCTCCAAATTTATGTTGTGCAAGTCTAATATCATGTTTCCAAATACTACCATCCCTACATCCTGAAGCAATAATATGTTTATTCCATGTCATAACACCTACACGAGTAGTATGACCATTCATTGATCTAATCTTTTGAACACTCCAAATATTCCATATTTCAATATTGCCATCATTCAATCCCACAGCAAGATGATCACCATCTTCAGACCATGAAAGACTTGAAATAGTATTAGTACCACTTCTAATTATAGTAATTGCTGACAACTCATCAGTTATTATATCCCACAAATAAACTCTTTTATCTATTCCAACTGCCACTATATTTTGGTTACTCCAATCCAATATATTTAAGTAATAGTCATCAATCACTCCTAGTACATCAAGTGTATATTCAGGGCTTGTTGGTATTATGCGTTTTTTGATACATGATGACTCTGGTTGACAATTGTAAATTTGGTTTAATTGATCAATTTTTTGATAATGGTTATTAGGTTGATGATGTTCAACCTTAAATTCCAATATATTCTTATCAATTGCCAATCCATATGCACATGCCAATTCCTTTTGATATTCTTGTTCAGGACTATTCAGGTCCTTTCCAGTCCTGATATTTCTGTGCAGGAATTGCTGGCCATTTGTATTATTTGGAATAAATCTATCATACTATTTTTAATAAACAAATATTTATTGTTAATATATTTTTAAATCTAAATAAAATATTTCTTAATATCTAATTCAAATATCATCATCAAACAAATATATATATATATATATCTACTGTATACATACTACATGTGCCTGAGATTTAGCCTTCCTTTTTCTGGGAGACAAATCACCAGACCAACCTTTTGTTCTTTAAAATAATTATGTAAAATTTAATAATGTGTATTATGATATTCTAACTAGAGTGACAACGAGTGGTGATAACCACCACCATTCTCATGATAAATTAGAGTGGCAGGCAATAACTACCACCACCATCCTTATGATAAACACTTACCCAAAATATTTATCACGACCGGTTTCTTTTCTTCTTTTATTGTTTCCTGAAGACATTTTAAAGCAATAAAAAATAATTATTGATTTGATCAACAAACGCGTCATTAATTATTTATTATTGGCACTTGGTGTTGCACAGGTTTTTTTTGTTGACGCGAATTGATTTTTTTTTCACAATTTATTTTTTACAGAGTCCAAATATGACAAAACGTGAGTCTCCTAAAGAAGACGTGTTAATAATAGAGGTACTATTTTTTATTTGTATTGATATATATATTTAGTTTATAAATATTTTAATTGAAATCAAAATTCGGAGCAGATCTTGCTGGGTATAAGAATCTCATCAAAATGATAACAAATGATTGGCATTTTTCTTTTCGTAATCAATAATATTAATAATATTATTATATTATTATAATTACAAGATGTCAAGGCAGCATGACTGACTGTTACAGAAGAAACATTTCGAATATGCAATGTTTGATTATCAGAAATTTTAGAGACATTGAGGCACGCACACTGCCTTGAACATTTACAACCATTCTCTCTCATCTTCCTCATGTACAAAAGGCTAATCTGACTAGCTTGCCCTGAGATACAATGATGCTGCAGAATTCCAGGGGGGTACGTGGCTCTGGAGTTTACCGAGACTGCATCAATTGTCAAGGATACTTTCACTAATCTTCCCAGACCAGAGAAGGCTTGCTGCCATGTTGGATGAAAAGTTTCCTGCAGCGATCCTACCTCTATGGTAAGGATGGCTCTATGACCAAGTCGCAACTCTGGAGGAATATTATTAGAATCTGCAACTCGTTTCAAGCACAGGAGGTCGCAATTCAGAGCAGGGTTTGTGACCCTGAAATTGCATTTGGGCTCTGATGTTAAGAGGAAAGTTGTAAAATAGTGTTTGTTTTGTATAATCATTTTCATAAATTCTCTGTTTCTTTGATACTAACCAATTAATAATTTTGGGTAGGAGACTGGATGGGTTTTTGCCCAATCAGTCCCTTGTCTTGTAGGTTAAAATTATTGCATGATTATATACATCTTTGTCAGCAATATGGTTAATAAGAAAAAAGTTATAAAATGGTTCAGATTTTGGTATGTTTTGTATAAATTAATCATTTTCTGTTTCTCTTTAATCTTTATTTGACCAACTGAATTTGTTTTTCGAATTGGGGGTAGTGTTGGTGAGCAGACATGCCACTGACCAGACAGCAACCCAGGACTCAAAACTCTGAATCCAGGGAAAAACCAAAACCAAAACTCAGGTTGCAGCTTCCCAAGTTGGAGAATTTTCAAGCCAGTCTTAACACCAACTTTATTCTAGTGAGAGAGGGGTATAACACAAAGCAATCATCACACAAATGCTGAACCTCATCAGCTATCAATGCCCATATGGTGGCATCCAGCCTGGTCTGAGGGGAGGATAAGGGGGAGTTTTGTCCAAAGCCTTCCAACATGTGTGAAACCTCCCTGTGGAAAAAAAATTAATTCCATAGTTATGAGGCGTGTTAAGAACACCGCATTGCATGTTGGTGACAGGAAAGTTTTAATTAAATTTGACACCTGTGATCAACGTCAAATTTATTATTCATGAGCAACCATAATTTTTAATCAGGAAAAGTAATTTATTATTGTGAACCCCAGAGATCTGGGTAGACAGGCATTATTAAAAGTTTTGTTTATGCATGGCCTTGGTATCATTACTACTTAGGTGATGCAATTGTTTGTTATGTCAATGATGATATCAAATGTATTGAATAATAATCATGACCATTGTGAATATTTATTGGATGGAGGCATTCACATCCAAGGAAATGATTAAATAGCTAAGTCATGTTTGTTTTATTAAAGACATATGATTAATTGTGTATAAAATATACAATAAAAAAATTGTACCACTGTGTCAATCAGGCTATCAAGCTGCTATGTTTGTGCATGATTTAAAATTCTTTTGTGCTCCCATCTTTCTTTGCTTATATATAATCTATTGGTTCTCTTTTTACTGGTTGAATGATGCCAAATTGGGTAATGGGGTATTCAGCAAATATCAGAATCTGATTATTCTTTAAAAAAATAATCAAAGTATTAGCATACTGATAAGTTAATAATAATATTAGTATTTTTATCTTATAGTCTAAAAGCCTAGCCTGTAAAAAATGACACTCCAGAATATTTCCATTATTTCTCCATGATTATGGTTATCACTCCATAAAAATTCAGTTTTTTATAAAAGTACAGGAAAATGTGAATTTCAGGTAAAATTCCATGCAAATTCCATACAGTTTTCCATACATTTCCGTGCCAAATTTTTTATAGGGAAACCAAAGTGAGTTTGCAATTGGCCAATGAATGTAAGTTATAACTTATAAATAAAATATCCAATAATAATAAAAAATCATATAGGTAAATGGTTTTTCAATCCTTCAAAGAAAAAAATTAAAAAGCTGAGTTTCGAATGTGTTTAAAAGTCCTAAATAAAAAAATAAATAACTAAACAAAAATCAGTATAAAAAAATTTCAGTAAAAATTCAGTAATTAGATGGTTAATAAAATGCCACATAATACCCAATGTCCATCCAGGATCTCTCAGTGAATGAATGGTCAATGGATATCCTGACCATTCTTCCATTTCATCAATTCATATGCGTTTCAGTGAAATCTCCATTTTTTATGAAAAAACTGATTATAGATTCTGTGAATATGGAACCTTTATGGAAAAAACATGGAAATTTATATTATTAATATTATTATAACAGAAAAATACTGAATCTAATAATGGAAAAACACTGAGCATAATCACAGAATAAATTTTTTACAGGGCTACCAGTACAAGATTCTTGCAATTATTAGAATTATGCACATACTATTTCATCATTAATAATTGATTTATTGAAAAAAACTATTTTTAAAATTATTATATTGATTAAATGATTTTTAGATGTTAAGAAAATTGGTGGCTTTAAAGAGAAGGTGTTGCTGTAAAATTTGTCCTTATTTAATGATCAATCACTGTTGTTCATTTACTAATAGAGCATATACTACTAATAATAATATTTTTATTTTTATTATTCAATAATCATATCCTAACTAAATAAATATAATTGCCTTCACTACATTAACTTTTTAAATAATTTCGAGGATAAAAAATATAACATAAATGCTTAAACCTCTGAAAATTGGCTTGATTATGGCTTGATTATCCCTTAAACGAAATTGCGGCCAAATCTGGCCGCAATTTGCAATTGTGATTCAAAAATTACAAAAAAAGGTATTTTCCTGCGGTCTCACCACAACCTTTCTTATTTGATAAATGATATTCAAAACACCCTACTTTAATTAAAAAAATTTCGTTTGGGGTTACATATTACAAATAAAGAAATAATATAAAAATTCCTTGAAATTTTCTTTGCTGATCATTTTATTATAAAACAAAATTCCGACGGAATTTGAAATCCTATGGAATACTAATTAAAGGACATTTCTAAAATCATTATTGTTAATTAACTGCTTATTTTTATTGATGTTTTTGTGTTTTGGAAAATAGACATAATAAATTATGGAATTAATACTACATGTGGAATTGAAAATTCCCGAGTTTGTAAATCCAAATAAATCCTTTAATGAATTCATACTAAATTTATTATAAATGCCAGAAGTGTAAGAGACTTCAGACAAGTAAACTAAAACAAATACTCCAATAAAAATCAAACAATTTTAAATTTAACAATTAATTTTAATTTCCCGAAACAACTACTTTTTAATAACAAAAATCAAAATGAACCAAGAACAAAATGCTAATATTCTTGATTCCGATAATGGATATTATATTGCTAGTATTACAAGAATATGGGTGGGCTTTATGATAATGAGTTATCTGAAATTGCTATGTAGATTTCCACACAAGAAGAGAAAGTTAATGTTTCGTTAATTATTTTATTCATTTTTTTTATTTATTTATTTATTTAAATTTGGTTACACGATCTTATGTAGTAGTTTATATTAAAAAGTCAAAAATTGTAGCCTAAATTGGCATCATTATTCTAAGTAAACTTGTTAATTAGAACATATATGATTACATATCTTACGGTTTTGGGCCTGGTTTTAAATGATGAAATTTTTTACTAATCGCAACTTTTCAAAAATCCAAAAATTAATTTTTTTAAAAAAATACATTTATTTCGGTACTAGTAAAACTTCAACAAAAGAAATTAATTTATTAAAAATGAATATTTATACATAAATTTTATGGCCTTTTCCATCTAAAGTCAAAAAAAAAATGGAAGTCAGTTGGTAATTTTTTTGTTTATTAGGGGTCTACATTTTTTTAAAAATTGCGGCCAAATCTGGCCGCAATTTCTGTTCGTTTAAGGGATAA